GAGGGGTCAAGATTGACAATATCCAGATTGTGAAGCAGAGATGTGCAGGGCCTGCGGTGACATGAGGAACGTTCTGGAAGTCGTATGTTTGAGGAGTGGCATCCTAGGATTTCGGGGGGGAGGGAGCTGAAGCTGAGATCTGTTAGAAACATCGTGCTGATGGCAGTAGACAGACAGCCTGGAGCACAGGAGGTATGTCTGAGGGAGGAACAGGTCTGGGGATGATACTGTGTGAGTGATACCCAAACTCTTGAGCATAGATGAGCTCACCCAGGGTAATTCTTTCCATTTTCTCCCTTTGGAGAAGAAGAGGAGCAGGACCAGACCCAGGACCTCCCAGTGCTCAGCAGAGCCCACAGCCCAGTGTGAACCCAAATGGAGAGACTCAGGTACCAGGGCGCCCCCACTTCAGTGGGGATACTCATGAAGACTCAGAAGGTCTAGAATAGTGTCTGAGGGTTTTCTATGAGACCCCTCCTCATTTTAGGGAAGGACAGTTTAGGGTTGATTCTGACACAAGCAATGCAACGTCTATCATCTGACAGATTCCGAGTAGATTGGGATAAGCTCTGAAAAATCAGACTTTCCACTGCTAACTTATGTTATGACCTCCCTTTTTTGTATTATCATAATATCAAAATATTGTGAGCAACCATCAGTTTACAACTGGATTGTCTTAGCCGCAGAAGGCTGCTTCCTTGGTTTCTTTATACAAAAAAAGCAAACCTCAGATAAGACTCCCAGGACAGAAGGACTCATGGACATATTTAACCTTGATTACACTGGTGTTGTTTGATATACAACTGTACAACTTTCTCTTAATTTACTCCTTTTTAAAACAAGCATTAACTACTCTCTGCTAGCCTTAAATTAGCCACTAGCCTTTCTTTAGACAATCACTGATAACACTGCTAACACAATTTATTACTACCCCAAGACCCCTAACAACCTTTTGCTAACGAGCTCACCCTTTCCCAGACCCCTCTTCCTTTGAGTGATAACTAAACAGCTGTACACATGATAATTATCACAAAAACGTATAATCTAGTATACCATAATTTGTTAAGAGAAAAATGCTTTGTTCCTCTTGTCCTTGAGAATGTTTTCTGCTGATCTCTCATTAACTTATCCTATGCATTATTGCAATTAACTACTTGTTACACAGTATAAATAAAGGCCTGCTGAAGGAATGGCAGGAAGACTTGCACCCTATCCTGACTCCTATGTCTTCCTCGCTTCCGCTCCCCTCTCCCGCTCCTCTTTGGAATATCTGCTCGCAGACGCCTTCCCATCTTAGGGTCCTGCTTGTGCTGCCTCTAGACACCTCAAAAGTTGGAGCTGGTCTCCAACATGATTCCAAGAAGGGGGCACTTCTTGGAAGTGCCTGGAAATAAATAGAAGCAGGAAGAAATAACAGGGAGTTTGAAATCTAAGTTTCCATCTCAAGAGACTGAAGGAACCTCTTTATTTGGGCTATCTAGCAAAAAGCTGGGAGGCAGATGTTATGATTTGGAAACCTGGTTCTGACCTAAGTCAATAGAGCTCACTAGGGAGAATATTTGAGGCCCCTGACCCTGTGTCTGGACTTGGGCGCCCCCTTGTGAGAAAATCCCTGTCCTGCAGCTGGGAGCCCAGGGCGCCCTGGGGGCCTGGCTGAGCAGGAGAAAGGGCAGCTCTGAGCTTCTGCGCTCAGCCCCGTGGCCACACGGGGGCGCTGCCGCACTGCTCTGGTTCTGGCTGAGCCACCAGAACTGGGAGGATCTGAGTGGGCAGAGTGGGTTGTCCTGGGGGCCGGTGTCCTGTGTGTGAGGTCTCCATCCTTTCTCCCAGGACCCCTCTCCTCAGTCTCTCATACCTATACCTGGTGAAACTAAAACGTGGATATTGTTTTCCTTCTACAACCTATAACTTTTCCGAGGAATATTTTTTAAAATAACATTAAGAATATGGTCATATGTGCAGAATGTTGCAGCGGCATCATAGATTCCTGTGCCTCTCACCCTGCTGCCCACACTTTGAGCATCTCACTGACCACAGGGCACCCGTGCAGCTAATGGAGCGATAGTGACTCACGGTCACTGAGCCCCATGCTCCACCTGGAGCTCATCTCTTTCCCTTTTCCTTTCTCAGGATCCCATCGCGTTCCAGCCATGTCTCCTTCAGGCGCCTCTGCTGAGACAGTTTCCCAGACTTTCAGGTTTTGATGACAATGACACTGGAGTCCTGCTCAGGAACTGTGTCCTTTAATTTGAAAGGTGTCACTGGGGCTGTGATTTTGAGGAAGAATACCACAGAGCTAAGGTGTTGTTCTCCATCAGCAAATCACATGACTTCCCCCCCCCCCCATTTCTCAGTTACCGCTGTCCTTGGGAGGGAGTCACTGGGGCAGCGCCCACCGAGTGGATGTTTGCTGCAAACAGTTACATGCAGGCTGTGGTGCGGGTATCAGGTTTTAAACTGTGTAAGTAGCAGGACAGTGACCGTGGATTGTAAGGTCAGTCAGTGCTTGGCTTTAAAAAAAAATGCCTTCAGGGCTCACCCTGGTTAAAGCACAGTACTCAGAACTAAAGCCATTTCAGTATAAGTTCGATCCCCGGCCCTGGAGGTGACCCACAGGACCCAGCAGACCTCTCCTGACTGCCTGCTGTTCCCCTCCGCAGTGTACTTTGTCAGTCTGCCTATTCTGCTCCCCACTCTGTCTCTGATGGATCCTCTCACTGCCCCCACACCTCTCGCCTGTGCCCCAATACTGTATGCATAATTTTTTTTAGATCTTAAAAAATAATATTTTCAAAAATCCCACTAGAGGCTGTGCCACTCTGCATCGTGCCAGCAGTGGGTGAGG